CAATTACGAAATAACACTTACTACCCAGGAAAAAAAAATGTTATACGGTGAATTCACACTGGAATAGTTTCAGTAACAGCTGGAGCACTTAGTGATACATCATTTATTTCAAAACAGGTTTTGTGCCAAGTGAAACACGAAGAAAAAGCCATGTTGATCATGTGTATGTGTGCTTGTTTATGTCTGAATTTGTGTAGATGTATGTGTCTGTGGGCCTGTGTGGGGAGCAGTAGTGTAGCAATTAACCTGTAGCACTATGAACCTGTGACCTGTATTCGAGTCCCGCTCACAGCCAACACCAGTCACGATTATCTGAACCAGTCCTGGGCCTCGCCTAGGTCGACTCAGTCCTCACATGAGTATTTGGTGAGATGTGTAAACATTACCACTGGGAAGACAAAGGTAGTCGGGCATGGTTCTGGTCACCCACCCCCTCATGTGCTGTGCCAGCCTTCATAGGTGCTCGCCAACAGCACTTGCCTCAACAGTATGTTAAGGCTATATGGGGGATATCTGTCTTTGTGTAATGGCAACATTTGTCGCACCCTTGTTTATTTGATTAATATGGGGTCCATCTTCTTGGTTCTTTCGGTAAAGTCACGTAGAAGGGAAGTAATAAAATAATAAAAATAAAACATTATAAAATAATTCTCACGACGTTTCGGCTACAACGCAAGCAGCCGTCTTCAGGTGAAGACGGCTTCACGTGAAGACGGCTGCTTGCGTTGTAGCCGAAACGTCTTCACCTGAAGACGGCTGCTTGCGTTGTAGCCGAAACGTCGTGAGAATTATTTTATTATGTTTTATTTGTATTATTTTATTACTTCCCTTCTACGTGACTTTACCGAAAGAACCAAGAAGATGAATCCCTGCAGTCACGAAAGCTTTAAATCGAAATATAATATGGGGTCATGGACGAGTCTAACTTCCAAATGTGGGTCATCAACTCTGAAATGTTTCAGAAACATTTCTGTCAAAAGACCATGCGCTTAAAACAATGTTAATTTGAGTGAAGTGACTCAACTTAATTTTTTTAAAGAATCGTTTATAATCATGGGGTCTGTGCTGCTGTACGGACCGATATATTTTACGACGGTTTTTATAAATAGCAACATGAAGTGCATTATTGTTAAATTTAATGGGTGTGGTAGTGCACTCACACAGCAGGGAGGAGACGTGGACCACACACACACCTCAATGTGCTGTCAAATTCCCAACCTGAATGATAAGCTGAAGCATAGCCAGGAGATGGCAGTACAACAAAGGCAATCGTGAGCTAGCTCTGCAATTTAAGTTTTTATTCTCATCCAATAAGTGCGCTTTAATGTGTATTCCACTCCACGACCACATGCAGGTACTCACTAAAAAACTATTGGCCAAACATGCAAGATCCTCCTGCAAATAAGTATTGATATTGAATTACATGATTTCTTATATAAGGGGCCACCCATTTAGTACGTACGCATGGAGGGGAGGGGGGTTAAACCAAATGTGTACGCTTGCGTATGGGTTAGATAGTCCGGCGGTAGACTAGTCTGTTTGCTTAAACACGTTAATATTAGGGGCCGTCCATAAATCACGTCACGCGATTTTGGACGGCGTCACAAAAAGTCAGACCCCCCTCAAATATGACGTCACAAAGCTCTGACCCCCCCCCCCCCCAAAAAAAAATGCTTCAAATCGCTTTGAATCTATTGCCATTGTAGTGCGTATTTAATGTGGCGCTGCACTCTGATGCTGTAGGAGAAAACATTTATTAAAAAGTCTATTTAATTAAGTAGAACGTGTCGTCTACATTTATTTAAAGTTGCGCATTTTGATGTGACGTCACATTTCTCAACCCCCCCTCCCTCGTCACACATCGTCACAAATGTATGACCCCTCCCCCCCCCGCCTAGGTGCGTGACGTCATTTATGGACGGCCCCTTATTAATCCTTGATCGTTTCTGCGTGGATTCAATTTCGGCCGTTCTATAGCATTTAGGTTGGGGGTGTGAAAAGTTCGCGTGCGTACAGGGAGGGGGGAGGGGTAAAGTTTTGACAGATTTTTGCGTACCTACTAAATGGATGGCTCCTAAATGCAAATAATAAAACAAACAACCCAAAAACGTTGATTATGAATAAAACAAACGTGTCAGTGCAATCGTAGCGCTATTACGCACGACATTTTTTAATAATGGGATAATTTTATAAGAAAGTGCAATGTAGTGCACTGTACCTTAAGGTTATGGTTGTCAAATGTTGGTGGGGACTTTAGACGGTGAAAACCCTCCGCAATGTAAAACGTTCATCATCATCATTGTTACCCAACGTGTTCTTCACCTTCGCCCTGTGGATGATGCACATTCAAAACGTGTCTTGTCAAGAGTCTCGCTGTGCTGTGTTCCACTGTGTGGATGCGGTGCCTTGCCCGTCTCCGCTGGAACCCTGCACCGCCACAGGGTGCTCCTGCAACCATCGTCCGTTCCCTTGCGCTGCCTTGGCCGCAGCACCTGTCCATGTACAGGCTTCTGACGAGCATTGCTTCCACTATTTGTCATCGGCGTGGATATTGATTGATAACAGAAGCACCATTGATGACAATTATTAACTTCACCTATCACAAACATAAATATAGCCATCATCCCTATTATTCCGAGGATTATAACAACTAATAGTGTATTCTTGCTTCTTTCGGTAAAGTCACGTAGAAGGGAAATAATAAAATAATAAAAATAAAACATAATAAAATAATTCTCACGACGTTTCGGCCACAACGCAAGCAGCCGTCCTCAGGTGAAGAACAGGTCTGTCGGAAAGACAGCGTCTGAATGAAACACCACCAGGCTTGGAGCGTATATATAAGCTAGGTTGGAGGGGGAAGAGCGCCTTGACAAAATAATTTGCATATCAAGATAAATTTAGCATATTTATGGGAAATGCAGATATGGGATTAGTCATTACTTGTGGAATGCGTAGGAGGTGGGCCGGGGGTTTCTAAGTAATAATATGCCCGTGCATTGTGCAGGATTGGCAGCATCAAAGGGAGGGAGTAAGGTTAGCATTAATAAAGGGAAGGAATGTTAATAGTATGGAGCTGCAGCAACTAATATGCTTATAGACTATATATTGTAATATTACACTATGTATTATTCTACCCACCCTACTGTATACCACACTGCTGTATATTCACTATACAATTACTATACTATATATTACCTTATACATTGTATTAAACATTACACTTTTATACTATTTCTTATTCTACAATCTGCTATACACTATACCATTGACCGTCGCGTGAAAGGTACTAAGAGGAAGCAACGAAATGTGTCAATGGGAGAGTAGTTGGTAGGGAGACTTGCAGCGGAGCAAAGACTCATTCCCTGCGGAGAATAAAAGATATATAGTCAATGCCAGTGAATGGACTGCGGTCTGAAAGTCACCATAAACGTAAACACAATCAGTTAAGATCCAAAATGGTTTATTACGTCCTTCCAATGATTGCTGAGCCAGAATCCATCTTCTCGGTTGAAATTGTCTCTGTGTTTGTATATGTGGATCGCCTCATGAACGAATCTCTCATGGTAGCCAGATGTCTTGCAGAGAACCTCTGTCTTGGAGAAGTCAATGTCATGTGAGCCCACTGAATTGTAACAGTGATCTGCCATGGCTGAGATGTTTGTCCTACCGTGTTTCAGGTCTGATTTATGTTCACGGATGCGGTCCGAGACATGTCGTTTGGTTTCTCCAATGTAACTGCTACCACAGAGGCAACTTAGTTTGTAGACGCCATGCTGTGTTTTAATGGAATGATTATGTTATAAAGTTGAGTGTTTCTGGAACCACATCTTTTACAGATGGGACCAGATCACGGATTTTATGTACTGTGTTGAATCGGACATGGATCTTGTGTTTAATCAGGATTTTGGAGATCTTTTTTGTGACCCCAGCAATGTAGGGTAAGGTGATGGTTTTGAAAGGCTCCTCAACAGGATCTTTCTTGATGGTTGGAGTGATGGCTTTGCGGATTGCGTAGTCGGAGTAACCATTAGCCTTAAGAGCTTGGCGTACGTGCTTGAGTTCACTGGCAATGTGTTCCTGGTCGGAGATGCATTGGGCTCTATGGTGTAGAGTCTTGATGAGGGAATTCTTCTGGGATGGATGGTGGTGGGAATCCGGTTTTAGGTAAGCATCCGTATGGGTGGCTTTCCTGTAGACAGAGTGGTTCATTGAACCATCAGGTCTCCTTTTAATTAGGACATCCAAAAAGGGTAGCTTGCCATCTTTTTCGACTTCCATGGTGAATCTGATGGCTGGGTGTATGGAATTGATGTGGTCGAGGAATTGGTCTAGAGCAGGCCGGCCATGTGGCCAGATGACAAAAGTGTCATCTACGTACCTCTTCCATAAGGTCGGGTGTAGAGTGTCTCGCTATCAATGGTTTGCCTGTTATCCGCAGATGCAGTGGATATTAGGGTGGATGGAATGACCATCTGCAGCGTATGTCATGCTTCTTGTCCTCAAAATCACAAATAATAGGGAGGGCAATGCAAAACCATTTGTATTTTATCTGTAGATATTAGGAATAATCACAGATTAAACAGACCACATGGGTATTAAGAAACCGTAAGGAACAGGGACATTGATGAGAAGAGTTTGTGATGTAAATTAAAATGAAACATATGTTCAAAAGTATATGATGCAGATTGAATAATGCTATAGGTTATTGCCTCTATAGTATAGAGGCAATAACTAGATAGACATTTCAGAGTTGCAGTATAGAGTCTATACTGCAACTCTGAAATGTCTATTTTGCCAAATATCAACCTGTGCAAAAACACATTCATGCGAACATGCCGTTTGTTTTAATGGAATGATTATGTTATAAAGTTGAGTGAATTTTTATAATCACTAAAAAATATTGACCTAACCCATATGTGCTGGGTGGTTTCTTACTTTTCTTTATGTCGTTTTTCTGTGTGTTTCTGGTGGTGTGTTGATTAATTCTGATTTATCAGTGTGTTCTGTGGGAAGATGTTGAAAAAAAGCCTCTGCAGTCTGCCTCTCCACAGTGCTGTGAGTATTAATTATCTTGCATCTCACATATCCTCACATAACAAAGGCGATTGTCACGGTACACATTTACAACAGACACACAATCATTAAATGTTATGTTTGCTGCTTTAAATTATTAATTTGCATGAATGAAACATGAAAATGGGAAGGTTAAGTTGCTGAAAAAGTGGCATTTCTTTCATCGTCTTAAATGTTTTCCAAACTCCCTAATGACAGTCATTTCAAAATGGCAAGTGTAGTTGGTTTTGACATACTGTCATCTCGTCAAATTTTCTTAGAATGCCATTGGGTATCTTGGTAAGAAATCATTTACAGTCATTATGGAGACCTTAATATATTTTAGATTTTATCGAAATATTACACATTCCTGAGCTGCAGCTGTTTTAAGCAAATGATTACATTTGGGTTTGCTGTTTTATAAAAGAATACTCGTGTAATATATTGTTTTAAAATGTTGGTTTAAGCATTGGAAATAAAAATGCTCAGAGGGCTTGTGATTTTCAATATCTCATTATGTGGCCTTTTCCCATAAGCCCAGGCTTCCCAGTTGCTTTTCTGCAACAGCCTCTAGCACACAGTGAAGATACTCAATGAAATACAAATCAGTATTATCTGATCTTGTTCCACATGTTTTCGAATCGCTTGCATTTATTATTCAGCGCAGTAATATGCTCATTTGCCAAATATGTCGATAACACTTTTATTAAAATAAAATAAATGTGGGCTGGCTAAGATAAAATGAAAATAATAAACATGAAGGCGAAACATTTAAGCCATGTAACATCCTATGGTAGGAAAAAAACTATTTTTTCTTTGTTTAATATACGTTCATTATTTTTTAACAAGTCTTAATGCTCTGCCATTTCTTCTTGCTGTGATGTTCTCAAAGGTAGCATAGGGATCCAGTCTATTTAACAGCGTTGATATTAATTGTACCAGTGGAACAGAACGGCATGAATGCACTGATGGTTTACAGCGAAATATCGAATCTAATGTAACTTCCATATCACGTTATTGGTGCTAACTTTTACATGTTTTCAAATGTTTAAGATCGTCAGAATATAACAACCTCTGTAGATACACAGTGCACGTGCTCTGGTACTGCAGTTCGTTTCACAGGATGATGTGGCATAAATTTGTTTAAACTTAGTGTTTATTATTTGGTAAATCCATAACATGTAAGTATACACATCGCTGTATGCTTTGTAAGAACAAATATACATTACCTGCACACAATGCTACTCTTACTTACTTCAGCCTGCCCACACACTCAGACCCCAGAACCTATTGTGTGATATACATAAAAAACACACACTGTTATCCTCTTACCACTGTACTGACAATGTGTTTCTGGCTGCTTCTGCTCTTACTGCTGCTGCACGTCATGTGTCTCCATTGGCTGCTGAGAACATGCACTGCGGTCTGCAGTCCTATACATGTTGCACTCACAAATCCATAATGTTCAGTCTGATTACTCATGTGTCCTGAGTCTGATCCCACTAATATGTGTTTATTTTTTCCTCTTTACAGTAATAATTGAAATGGTCAAAGTATAGCACTACATGTGACATGTTTAAGAAGAAGAAAATATAGCAGGAGACAAATCAGAACTTAATAACTTTAAAAATAAAATCATAACTTATACATTTACCTTAAAATATATTTAAATTACAAACTCATTGGCGTGCTAAGAACATCTGGCAGGAAAATACAGTTACTTTCTGTCTCGATATGCCAACCAATGAGCCTTTAGCTTTAGTAAATAGTGTTAGGAAATATATCTTGATAACTACGACCTTCAGATATGGTCCAAACATCAAAGTGTCTCCTTGCTTTAATTAAATTGGGGCAGTACTCGTCTCCGTAGGTGACCCTAAGCCAATGGTTGGATTTCCACGCCCATGTAGTGGTGGGAAATCTGTCCGTGTGGGACAAATACTGGTGAGGGATTATTTTTGCCAAGGAGATGCAAGACGCGTATTTGAGCTTACAACATGACATGGTGTGAAGCTGACGTGGTATAATCTGGTCAGATAGCAATGAGCTGATAACGGTGAAATTCTGAGTGTGAATTCTTGATTAAAACCTGGGGCTCGAGTACCCAACATGCTTATGCAATTCTTTAAATTGCCTAAGCTCAAAAATGGCATAACTCTGATTCCTTCATCAATCGGATACTTGCAATCGGTCTTAAGATAGGTGAGAATTTACGGGTGGTAAGAACCACTCGTAAATCCACCATTACTTTCTTTCATGGCTGCGTGGAAGGTGAGTGCTCCGTATTTACCTTGTGTTTGAGCAATTGTTGCTGTGTATTTGTATGTGGTTGTGTTTGAGGTGTGTACAGTGGGTGTGTTTTAAGCGGTTTCTGTTGTGTGTGGATATGTAATAAATAAGCGTTAACACATTTCTTGAATTGAGCAAAGTTATTTAAAGAAAATATACAATGGGAGGGAATTCTAAAGTCGAGTTGTACAAGGGGAGAAGCAGAAATAGAGATGTTTTGTGAGCTGCAGTGTGGTGAGTGGTTGACTGAGTGGGTGAGTTGGTGAGTGAGTGTGTCTTTGTCGAGTGGTGGGTGAACACAGTGTTGATGAGGCAAAGCAGTCAGTTTGGTAGTCCGAGTCCTCAACATCGGTGGAGGAATCAACGAGTGAAGTTAACGGGAAGAGTAACCATGGTAGTAGTGATAGAAGAGTGATAAGGAGGTGAATGGTGAGAGAGTGGAGTGAATCAGTGAGTGTTTTATCATCAGTGAACCTGGCTGCTTTATACTGACTGCACATACTCTTACAGCTGATTGGCTGGGTGCAGTGGGAATGATAAAATCATTCCGAGCAACTGCGCTCATATGTGACTGAGCGTTACAATCTCACTCGGACATTAAGGATTAATTTGAATTTTCTAACATTATTTCAGATCTCATGACAACTACAGCCTTAGAATTTAAGACATATTTTATGAGCATATTTGGTACTCGGGCCCCAGGTTCTTTATGCACACCATAGTCCAGCTCTGGGGATTAAATATATTTTAGTTTCATTGCTATGAGATAAACGTGCTTCTGGCCATTCAATGGTACACCATCCAGTGTTGGAAGCGAGTCCTATAAAAGTGGCTTCTGTCATAATTCTATGTACATTATCTGGGATCTGTCCTCAAACAAGATTATGACTCCTTGCTGTGAATATACTAATTAGAAATGTATTATTTTCAAATGAATAAAACTCAAATGGGCAATGAGGTGGTGCTTATATCCATTGCAGGCCTTGAGCCAGACGTGGAAATTCCACATTTGCAGGGTGAGGACCATTCTCTCCTTAACGTGATCACTATTAACCTCCCACACTGTGATACTTGTTGAGTTGACCAAGATTTGAAATTGCAACCTTTTGGGTTGAGTACGCTAAACACAGTACCAACTGGACACATTTTGGAATATAGTTGATTGAAAAACATTATTGTGTGTTTGAGATACTTGCTGTAAAGATAATGTACCAATTGTCTATGTTATAGCACTGAGTTAGCATCATTGAGATCCATGTTTGTAATCCAGGCCTCTACTTCTCATAAAATTGGAATTTTAAGTGGAACTGGCAGTGTATACAGCCCATTCTCACCCATTATGGCACTGAAATAAAACACGCATAGGTTGTTTTAATTGTTTAAACTTATTTCAGCTTACCCATGTTCGTAGGACTACCATCTATTCATAATGTATATCTAATTATTTGCATACAATAAACGATGTTCTGCATCATGATGAAGTGTTCTTTAGTATCAGAATAGAGGCCCATTGAATTGGCACCTAAAAAGGTCATGTGGTCTAACTTGTGATTGTTTCTTGATGTACCACTCTGCCTATTTAAGGAATTCTAAATTGACATTTATATTATCTCATAACGACGTGACAAAGTCCAATAAGGTGTTTCGAATAAATATTGTTAGTTTTTTTAGAATAAACTTTAGTTTTGACTATTGAACATTCTGTTAGGGAAGAACGTAATTTAAAGTACACTGCTATGAACGCAACTGACACCTGTTATTGGGATATCTGCATTTACACCCAAGCATTAGTTTAGACTAGAGGTACAATTCACACACCCGAGGATTTTGCCAATGTGAAAAAACTGCCAGCAGAGTAGATGTTGCTAACTGCTACGTGAATTGTGCTAAATGTGCCACCATACCTACTCCAGATTTAGCCTTACCCACTTTTAGTTCAATCCGCTGTGTGGACTGAGGAGACAGCCTTCCTATACTGTCACACAATTAAAACCACGGAACTTAGTGTGTGCTTGTAATGGTGGCAGATCAGTTCGGCACCCTGCATTACAAAGCCCAGTCAGTTAAATTCTTGGCCATCGATAACGTCCATGTCACGTGGTATTTGAGCCTCTTTTAGCTCTCTCAGAGGTGAACTCGGAATGAATGAGCACCTGGTGTGGTATCAGCACAGGGGAGACAAAGATGGCCAGGCATGGGCCTGGCCTGTCCACTGCTTTGTGTGTTGTTACTCACTTACCCCTTTGGTCTGTAAGGGTTCGTGTTTTTATCTGTTGTGTATGAGATGATGAGTGTGTTTCCTTGTGTCTTCCCTGTCGGTTATTACATGTAGCTGCACATAGCCCCTATGGTTAGCTGCTATAAAAATCAAAAATGCATCTAATTTGCCGACTTGGAATATGTGCCACTGCTCAGCCAATCAAGTCATTCAGATACTAGATCGACACAGGGACAGTCAGAAGGTTTTCTGTACACACATACACTCGGATAACGGAAAATGTAATCATGCAGCAATCCAGCTATTTCCAGCGCACTAGTTCATCTCATGCTCCATCTCCTTAGTGAAAGTCCTCTCACGCATATTTCGTCCTTTGGCTTCCACTCCTTCATTGACCTTCAACACCGCCCATCATGTACTTTATGCGTCAGTCTAATAATGGTATTTCTGTGTTCCGCGTTCTTCTTTCTGTCTGTCAGTGTAATTCCAAGCATGACCCTCGCCATGCTTTGCACACTTTTCCGTTTTTTTCCATTTCCTTTGGCAATGCCTATGTTTCTGATCCATATGCCATTGCAGGTAATATACACTGATTGAAATGTTCTCCATTCGGCACATAGGTATGTTGCATACGAATTAAGTTCAGTTTTACAAAAGCACTACAACCTTCTCTTTTCTCCACATCTTTATTGTATCACCATGAGCACAGTCTGCTATTCAAAAAACTGGTTACACGTGACTTTTCTCTTCTTATATTTATCTTGAGCTCAATCTTAAATCATTCACGCCAGCTCATTTCCATAGTTTGTTGGATTTTTGTTCCTCAGGGCTCGGTGATTGGCCCTGTTTTGTCAACAAACTCGGCATCTCTAACCCGCACTGACATGAACCTTTTTGCTATTGAGACAGTCCTGATGACTTCTGCAAATGACATGGACGAGTTCCAACAGCATCTACAACAAAACTATAATAATCTTCAACTTAATACCCTAAAACTTGTCCTCAATGCTAAAAAGACTGAAGTTATGTTAGACTCAAGCTGCCACAAACATGTCTAGCCACCGATGCATATTTTGTCTCTGAACTTGCACCTTATTGAGCGGGTTAACAATTTTAAATTTTAAATTATTATCCTGGACTCAAATTTGTATTTCAAGACCCACATTAACCACCTGGCCATCAAGATAAAATTCAAAATTGTCTGCCTATACAGAAACAAGCGCTGTGTATTCCACCTCGACTCGGTATGAATATTTAATGGCACCCTCCTACCCATATCTGATTATTGTGACACCATCTACTGCCTAGCTTATGAATCTAATTAAAAACATTTAATTACATTATACAACTGTGCTCTGCATGTTGCCCTTGACGCCCCCTACATAACTCATCATTGCAACCTGTACATTGGCTCAAATCTGTCCCCCTGGATATTCAAAGAGACCACCACTGGCTTGTCTTCATCTGAAAGGCCCTTTTTAAAATGGACTTTATTGATGCAATGTACGGGCCCATTACATCAAGTTTTGACGCACCTATACACTGTCAACATAAGCTAAACCGGTTATGAAAAGCAGGGAAATGAAAGATGGGGAACGGGCATCCCTCTGAGTCCAGTTCCCGTCTAATCTGCAGTGGTTCTACCCCTTGTCCTCGGTCCCTGTCTCCCGACCATCCATCCTGCTAACTTATTTCCGATGGTGCATAAAGGAGGGACCATCTGGCATTGCCTCACAGCCTCAGAAGTGCCTCCTTATTCGTACAAAAAAAATGTTAACACTGTTTGCTAAAACGTATTCACGCATTGCTGCTCCATGTTCCTGGAATACCCTGGCCACTCATCTGCAGCTTAGTTCCCTCACTTCACTCCCCTTCTTTATGACCCGATTAGACCAAAAGAAGACATTACTTACATATGTAACCAACTTTTGCGACACCTTTTGCTCTTGCATTATGCTTGTTCTGTCATTCTTTCGATTTGCTTGTGTTTATGCCACTATAATACAACATATGGAGCTTACTTGCACATGCCCCTTATTGTTTCTGGTGCATCTTGCTCTGAAATTGTGTTTGCACTGTTTCTTTCAATGTCTGTGTGTTGTTGTTTACGACTGTTTGTTAGTTGTGCAATATTCCTGAAAGATCACTTACTCGTTCTTTGAAATATTTACGTTGTTTTTGTTGCTGAGATGCTCACGTACCATGGAACTCCCTTGTAAAATTTCCCAAAATAATTGTCCGACATACCTGTAATGTGGTATTTTAAATGACATAATTAATTTATACTACTTAAAAGATATGTAAAAGAAAATCCACCCATCTGCTACTTCTACTTCTTCATTATCTCCTTCACCTCATGTTATATAAATGTGAACATTTGGATAACAAATTCTGTTTCCATATATAATTAACAATTACATTATACAGGCAGATCCCGCTTCGCACTCAATTTGCATTCCCGGAGAAGTGAGCACAAATCGAATTGGCGCTAAAAATGGTCAGTATACCATTGTATAAATAGGGATGCGTTCCTGTCAGCGTTATTCCTTTCATATGTCATGGGAACTCCCTTGCCAGGATAAAAATATAAGAATATGTTTTACCCTTTCTGGCAAAAAAATAGGTGTTAAGATGTTAAAACACCAGACTGAAACCTTTTGCAATGAATCATATCTGCATTAACCACGTATACTTGTGCTGAACATGCAAACAAAAACACATTCCACTGTAGCGGTGGGAGACGAGTTGTAGGAGCTGCTGCGCTACCAGTCCGGGTCATTCTCAGAGAAGAACCCCAGGACCTCCGTGATCTGAGTGACGCCCTCAGGCTAAATCTCTGTGGCGAGGTTTCTTTTAGGTGGAGCCTGATACTCTATATTGGTCTCGTGAGCACTCAACTGGCTAACACTTAACACATTTTCGATAGAATTGTTTTTTTATTGTGACCATGAATTGTGCTAATCGAATCGCGGGGGGTGGGGTCTGTAAGTCGCTATCATTGGCTTAGAGCGACGTAGTCTGAACCAGCACTCCTGCATTTCCTCGCTTGTGGGCGCTTTATAGATTTTTTTTATTACATTTTTTAAGTAAATGTTTTCTCCGGGCCAAAGAGCACGATAATAAATTAGCATTCTACAGGGTCACGCTCAGCGAGGTCTGCCTGTATTGATAGCCCATTGTTAACAAATCAACTGCTCAATGAAGGTTTCCACATGCCACGTTTGGTCTTAAGGTTCGTTTGATCAATCTTCACCATACTGAGCAGTGTGGGTTGGTGAAAACGGGAGACCAGAACATATTCAAATGTCACTTGCCACTAATGTTTTTTTTTTTAAATTGCATGGCATTTTGCTGTAAATTACATCCAGAATCACCAGATGTCCTTCATGGACAACATTAGTGGCAATTTTTTTTAGAAAATTGCATGCTTTCCTACATTCCAGTTTGCTGAAGAAAAACACTAATTAATTGGCATATTTGCCCATGTGACAATTTGATTTGATTGGCTCTAAAATTCAGAGAGTGTATCTGAAAATGTACATTATACCCAAGCTAAACTCAACTATTTACTCTTTGGTTCTTTTGGTAAAGTCACGTAGAAATAAAATAAATAATAGAATACGATGTTCAATTGCAACACACGCAACCGTCATCAGATGTGAATGTAAGCTCGGAGAGAGACAAACACAGACACGAAGAGAGACACACAGAGAGAGAGACACACACATACTTAACTTCAAATTTAGCAATCTTTGGAAGAACGTGTTCAACCAGGTAAAGTTTTAACTGTTGTGTTAGCCGACTCTCTATGTTGCATTGCATTACATTTATACATTTACTAGGTTTGTTTTCTCAAACTTCCAATTTATCTCTCCCTCCCGTTCTGATTGACATGCTAATTTCTCTGCCCCCCTCTCTCTATATAATACCCCATCACAGAAGCGTTGTTTCTCCGTCTCTGTGTGTGTCTCTCTCTGCATGTGTGTCTCTCTATGTGTCTCTCCTCTATGTGTGTCTCTCTGTGTTTGTCTCTCTCTCTGTGTGTCTCTCGCTCGGTGTATATGTCTCTCTCCGAGCTTGCATTTAGACTTGATGACGGTTGCTTGTGTTGCAATCGAAACGTCGTATTCTATTATTTATTTTCTTTCTACGTGACTTTACCGAAAGAACCAAAGAGTAATTCCTGCAGTCACGAAAGCTTCAAATAAAGTTTCAACTATTTTTTATTTTACCAGGTAAGGCCCACTGAGCTATATACAGCAAACCCTCGGTTTAACGGATTCCCATTCAACGGATCTCGGATATCACGGACAAAATCTGCTGAATCAGAGTTTTGTCTGAAGATCAGACAACAACGGACTTTGCCCCAAACAATGGACTAAGTCCAGTAATGGGGAAATCAGTCTGGTCACAATATTCGCTTAATACTGTAATGGTTACAGTATTTATTCCACTACACGTGTTTTTGTTTAAAATAGGATAAATAAAAGTGGAAAATGAGTTGTACACTACATTTACAGTACTTTGGGTCTTTAAAAATATTTTACAATATAGTTTCGTATACATCAAAAGCATTACATACTTTTATAATTATCATGCTGAACTGTTAGTAAATAGTTTGCGTGTGGTTGGGTTTGATATAGTTTCCCAAAATATTTCAATTTGGCCATCAATGGACAATCGTATTCTACGGACACCCTTCCCCCCTATTAGTTTGTTAAACCGAGGGTTCACTGTGGCTATTTTTCAGAAGTGACCTGGCCATAATTGATAGCTCAATGAAGTGGATTATCACGTGGACATTTATAGCAGCCAAATACTCTAAACGCATGTTTAACCCAAAATAAACTAATAATTAATAATATTAAGATTATTTAACCGCTGCGTTGGTGCAGTGGTTAGTGCCCTCGGTTATCATCCCAGAAAACCTGAGTTTAATTCCTGGCCATGGTTAACATCAGTGGCAAGTTATAGCTTAATCTGTCCTGATACACCCCATCATCAACCCGCACTGACGAACATGGTGAACGGTGGTCAAGCAATCCTCAAGTCTGACAGGGCATACTCCTTTCCTTGTCGATCTCCTGGTGCAGTAGCTGAAACAGTGGGACAGGTTTCTTCAGTCCACCACCCATCGATGACCTGTGTCCACCCAACAGTATAAATGAGTACACACCAGTTACGTTATCTATTGGGAGTGAAACATGTAAAACAAGGAAGAAAAATAAGGCATGTGTTCTGCAACACTTTTCAACGTGCGTTTTGTCTTCGGGAGTATTTAACGAACGATAATAAGGTTACGTTGAACTTCTTTCGCACCATACGTAGACAACGGTGCTAATCAGAGAGTTCTAAAACAATGAGATGGTATCACACAGCCCATGACACTTCATGGTGCGAGATGATGTCACGTGTGATGGCGTCATCCGCAGGGAGGGTAGAGTGGTGGTGTGCAGTCCTCAACAGTTATGGAGTCAACGCTTTTGCAAAATCCTTTTAAAGATTATTTTGTGTCGACATTTTGGGCAAACTTTGGGTCAAATTGTCAGTTTTATATAGGCCAAGTCCCACACATCCTGAATACCAACACAGCTATGTTCTAGCTGTGGAGAGATAGATTTATGAAGGACAAATATTGTCTGCTTATCTGTTTTGGTATTGCTCTTCTCAATGACGCAAATTGTTATTTTGAATTTTGTATTATTGTATAATTTTACGTCAAACTAGAACCGAAATCTTCTGGAGAAGGCCCTTGCCTGTAATAAATGCCAGTTCACCGGCATTGATCCAAAGAGGCCATGAATCAGCGGACGAGACGCTGTCTCAAAACCAGTACAGAGTTTGCTTGTACTGAAACAATGCTGCTGAAATTACTCACCCACAGAAGGATGTGTGACTGATGTGCAAGAAATACTTTATTTTTACGTGGAGAGACAGATATATGAAGGTGCATTGTCTGCTTATATAGTGCGTTATATTCTCCACAATGATGCTAATGATTGAATTGAATTATTTACGAGAGTTTTTGTTCATGTTGGATTATCTGTCCCCCTGTTGTAGACAGACAGACAGTGCAATACATTGCAACTTTCAACCTTAGTTGGAAAGCATTAAAAATACATTTGTAATACTTGGAGGATAGTGTAGCTTTGGTTTACAGCATAATAGTTTCCACCCAAAGTTAAACTTAAAAGTAGCATCTTAGATCATGCTATGTTTCTGATTTTCCTATTATAAATAAAATGGCATTGGTTAATAGGCTTCTCCGTTTTGTTCTGAAAAAATTGTTGCAAAAAAATATTTGGTACATACTAATCCATTAAAAGTTTGTTGTTGTCAATCACTTTAAGCTGGAATATTTTTACCGACTAAGAATCAAAATTGTTATTTCATAATTTTTTAAGTGGAACATATACGTTTCGGGGGGAGAACAATTGTATATAATGTGAAATAAATTATTTCTCAATCTATGCTTCACATTAAATCTGTGAGGCCCTGTCGATTTTCTAAAGTGTCTTTCCTTCCCTGTTCCCGTGACCCTTGTATTGCACAGGCAACTGGAGTTATTTTGGATGGGGCGAGCAACCGAGTATGTAACAACGTAACTAACACGCAGCAGCAGTTTGCCTAAGCTCTGCCGTCCAGCATGCTCAGTTTTACCACAGCTGTCCACTTTCCAGCAACCTTCCAGACCTCCAAGACATGTGGCATTCCAGGACATCTCAATTAAAATAACCCTACAGTTGTTGTTACCAATTGGCGAAACATTACGCATTTTTTATAACTAAAGTAAAATGTTATCTTATATAGGTGCAAATATTTACTATTTGGTGTGTAAACAACACTCGATCACACCAACATGGTGTTTTGTTTAATAGTACTTGAAATTTAAATAATGTACACGTGCTGTAGTCACGTCATATGCCACTTCATTGAAAGTGTATTTAACTAATTATCTTTAAACCTCAAATCGTTATACGAGATGTTCTAAAGTCCCCATGCTTTGAGTCTTTCAAATCATCTTTTGGTTACCCTTAGCATGGTCAGTATAAGGACACCTCATACTGACCATACATTCTGCTACTGGGCATGTCTAGTGCTATAAAAACAATATGAATATTATAGATAGGCATGCCTGGCCAACCTGTGTATCAGTAAAGGCATGCTCAAATGGACTTTGTCCCACTGGGAATGCTAAACGATACATTTTGTCATCGAGCACGGTCAATGAATTGGGAAAACAAATGGGCATCCTGAGACTACAGCAGCTGTTTAAATATTGGCCTGTGGGTCAGGGTACTGTCATGAGACATCTTACTTTGGCACTTCAGACTTAATGGCATATGGCAGAAATATTATTGAAACATTTTGGTTACAAAAGGCACAAACATTATTTTAAAAGCTGCAAATGGTCTGCTGTAGCAGAAAAAGTGGATCATAGCGAACCTTGATCAGGAATTAATGCATTTTTTTCAAATGCTGTCTATTCAGACTTTTTGGTGATTTAATTATACATAGTTTATAGCAGTTTATGACCCATTGACTCATTACATTTTGATAATTGTAGGGCTTCTTCCATAATAAAAAAACCCTAATACTGAGATATGTACAATAATATTTATATATGTATGTATCTGCATAAAAGCAGAAATATACTGTATGTTGATCCGAGTGGTGGGACATGCCTCAAATCCAGTGACATGGAGATTGGGTTGGTAGGTCATCACAGTGATAGACGCTACCGCATACAGGGAATTACATGCTTGTGGGAGGTAGTACAGCAGTCAATTGTTTTTTTTATCTTATGTGTGTAGAGTTTGAATGTTATACTTTCGTATGTGTGGGTTTTGCTGCTCACTAGTTTCCTCCCACATGCAACGACTCCAGAAAATGAACTACCTGAATATTCCAAACACAACCCTTGTGTAAATGGGTCTAAAGACCAAGTGAGGCTTTCCTAGGTAAACAAATGAGTAATAATGTACATGAATATTCCACATACATTCATTTTTTTTACCATTACTTCCATAGTTTCCCTAAGGATATGCATCAAGACAGCTTTAAGAGAAGGTAGACATGCATCTAATGACTGGGTTACAATGATTTACATTACAAAGATTGATATTTGCAAGTGTAACTACAAATATTGTAAATACATTAACATATGAGAGGGAGCCAATATTAGTAATTTCGAAAGCATGTTTTGGCTTATTGGGCATGTAAAACAAAAATTCCTTTTAGAAATAATAATTTTAGTCTATAATCTTGCTTTGTCATCGAGCATGTAAACGAATAGAATAGAACACATGTTTGCAACTACGCAAAAGGTTTTGCGATTTATTAAAATGCAGGAAAGTATGAGTGGAGTGATTATTTCTCATAAGCTGTTCTCTGAGTGTTTTTGTATAAATATTTAGGAAATGTGCAATTTGCCCAAATAAATTGCCACTTATAAATCACCACTTGTTACAATCATGGAAGAAGCCCATATGTTTAAGCAACAACCTAAAATAAACATAGCATTGGTAAGTCTTAATTATAATATAAACAAATTTCTGCCATAAACACATAATTTGGCTTTACAGTACCCTTCAGTACATACACCGTATGCTTGTGAATAGCAGCATGCTTCGACAGGAGTGTCTGCATGCTGCAAGCAAAGCTACACAAGCTCTGCACATCAATGGGAAGGTGAGGAGGCTAGCAGGAGGAAAAAATTATAGGACTTTGAAGGATATGTAGGAGTTATGTACTATTGCACAACAATTTATTATGCAAAGATTATGCATACTCCGATTTCTCATAGCCAGATTGTCCCCTAAGCTATGTTGAATGTAGTCAGTCGTCTTGTCTACAGTTTTGTCAAGTCATTGTGCTTAATCAAGCCTGCTTGTGTCTCCCTCATTGTCCCTGATGTGTGGAGGCCAATTGTGTCCGTCGAGTTGTCTCTCAACTTCATTTTCCACATTTAGTCATGTTACCTTTTGTTAAGACACAACAAACCCATCAGCACCAATGATGCATGCTAGAATTGAAATGTGATGTCTTTGTCTAAACATTTCCACTTGCGTCTTTGTCTAAGTGTTTCATACTGTTTTATTTTTTTTACATTATTTTTATGATTATAGTATCCTGATGATTGTGCTTTATACTTTTATGAATATGCATACGGTATGGTTTTTAATGAACATAAGATCTGAAAAAAATGTCTAAATCAATAGCAATGTGTGAATATGAAATTTTAAAAAGTCGAAAATCATAATCATTTCCTCAGTTGTTTGAGATGTAGAGTTTATCTCAGTTTACAAAACTGTATTTTGTATAAACTGTTAGAATTAATCTCGTATGCACCACAGCTGCAAAATTAAATACAATTTATTGAAATATGAACGACCGTAATAAGATGGGAAACGACGGATTATGGTAACAATCGTAGATTTGGGTGACTGGTGCATAAACGATAAATGCTGTGTTTAACCGTTCCAGCTGGGGATGACCAAGATGACAGCGACTATCGCAGTGAAACAACCAGTAACAGCATTCCTCCTCCGTATCACACCTCAGCGCAGCCAGCCTCTTCTAGTCACCCCCTTCCCATCCACCAGGCCCAATCCGCCTCCAGCAAAGGACTCGATCCCTGTCCAGCACATAAGCATGCTCAACGGCAGCCGGACTACTCTTCTATCATGTAAGTGACAGTCTGCGAGTGCACTTGCATGCATTTACATGAAATCACGTTCAACGTCACTTTACAAATCCTCCGTATCCTGTCTTGCAAGCTTGTAGTCTGCTTTTATAAAATGTTTCCTGTGTTTAAGTATTCCAATGACGTTGTTATTAGTTTTCTATTCAAATGATTTTTTTCACTCATAAATTACATTTCAATCACATTAAATATACAATCATATGTGGTATCCATGTTTACTTTTACATGTATAATATGTAATAATGCTATTAAGTAGTAATATTAATTATTATTTTTAAATTATAGGAGACTAAGTTATATGGCAGTATCATGGTCTTCTGTGCATGGTGTGCTTTTGCACAACTGAAGAGGACATTCAAGATTATTTTTCAATTATAATACTATTGTGCAAGAGTAATACTCATTCAATGCCCTGCTTTTTGTGCTTCTTAATATCTGCGCACCCTATGCGATCTGCGCACCTTCCTTTTATCCATGCACTACAATCCTCCTGTTATCAGATCCATCATGTGAATGAGAGGAAGTCACTTAGACATCTTTTATTAGCCACTTTTATCCGTGCGTATCCCAGAGAGGGAACAATCGAGCAAAAGCGTAGGTTGAACTCAGGATTCTTGTGGCGCGACCGACATATATAATGTCATAATGTTGTTTTGCAGCTCCCAATGTTTTGGTGATGATGATTATGATAATAATCGTCATGGGTGTGATAATGATGATTTTGTTGATGGTGGAGGCAATGTTGATCATATTGGTCACTTTTAGTGCTGAGTGACTGTTGGGATGACTCACACTCTGCTGGGGTGACTCCTGCTACGTCTTACTATGATCAGGACAGCTTGTACTGTGTACAGCTGTGTTGGAATGACTCGTGCTGTGTTGGGACATAATAGCAGGGTTTTCCCCTTTTTTGTGGCAACAAAACTGAAACTTTTTTACGAGGAATCATGTGTGCATTAACCACAATACTTGTGGTCAAAATGCAAACAAAAAACGCACTCTGATAATAGATGCATTGTCCTTTAAACTTATTGGTCCACACCAGAGACAGCTTTCTTTTGAGCATCGTCTCAATTGGTGCTGGACCAGAGGACGCCAAAAGGCGTAATTGAGACGAGGCTCAAAAGAAGCTGTCTCTGGTGTGGACCAATCAGTTTCAAGGACAATGCATATATTATCAGAATGTGTTTTTTATTTGCATTTTGACCACAAGTATTGTGGTTAATGCAGACATGATTCCTTGTAAAAAGCTTTCAGTTTTGTTGCCAGAAAAAAGGGGAAAGACCCTATTATTATATTTTGGTACTGGCAAAGGTAGTCTAATGATTTAAAAACGTATGCTGTGTTGGGACGATGGTGGTAGTGATGGTTATGGTGGTGATGTGCTGATGGTGATGTGACAATGGTGGTAATGTGTTGACGATGATGATTATGTAACGATGACAGTGATAGCTTCGTTGACTATTCTGGCGATGTTGCTCCATAGGAAGAGGTTTCTCAGAAAGTGTTTGCCATGGCAACAGCAGCTTTGCATTATCAGGCTTGACCTGGCTCAATATGAGCCTGACGTGGTCTCCTGGAAACACAGAACACCTTTCTTCTTATTAGGGGCCGTCCATAAATGATGTCACGCACCTAGGGGGGGGGGTCAGACATTTGGGACGATGTGTGACGAGGGGGGGGGGGGTTTGAGAAATGTGACGTCACATCAAAATGCGCAACTTTAAATAAATATAGACAACACGTTCTACTTAATTAAATATACTTGTTAATGAATGTTTTCTCCTACAACATCAGAGTGCAGCGCCACATTAAATACGCACTACAATGACAATAGTTTAAAGCGATTTGAAGCATGTTTTTTTTGGGGGGGGGGGGGGCAGAGCTTTGTGACGTCATATTTGGGGGGGTCTGACTCTTTGTGACGCCGTGTGACGAGGGGGGGGGGGTCAAAAATCGTCCAAAATCGCGTGACGTCATTTATAGACGGCCCCTTATCCAAAACCTGGCGTGGATAAGACGAGAGATACAAAGCATGAAAATCAGTTGTATTATTTGGGTTTAACTGTTCTGAATAAAATGAGTTAATTTCATGGATAAATGTGAATATTAAGATATGTGCCTAAGACCTCCCATATCAAATTCACAAGAACATTTCCACTGTATTGGCATTATGAAATACATGTTTAAAATGGAGAAGTGTACTACTTTGTGTTTCATGTCAATCAAAGCATTTGTATTTTTAAAGCTCGAATTAGCTAAAATAAGTAAAAATCCAAACTCTAATGTTGACAGGACTGATACCATGAACTCTATATGCTGGATTCAAACCCATAAACTCAGTTCCAGGGGCTGTCACTCCTGAGACTGCTACCAGAATATGATAGGAGGATTGAAGTGTTTGCCTTATGGATCCAGTATGCAGCTTTATGCTGGTGGTGCGAGTTTTTGCTAGAGCCATCCTAGCCAGACAGGTCAGAGGAGAAGGGCCAGACAAATAAAAGTCCAAAATAAATACCTCCACTAGGCACAATATCCATGGTACAGATGGAGAGGGCTGATGCAGGATGGGCAACTCACACTAGGGGGTTACAGTGGGAAAGCATCAGATGAAATGATCCACAGCGATGCTTATAGCCTCTGTGTAAATCACCGCTGGGTGGTATGGCAGATGGTAGGCTGACCGGTATCTCTTTACAACCAAGCCTAGTTAATGTTTTGATCGAGATTCCTATTTCCACCTTGTACATTCGTGACACTATATACAGCAATCCCCCACTATACCTTTCTGTAATGTGTTGTTTCGCATATACGTTGCTGATGAATTAGGGAACATATTCCCTTCTACAGTACATTTCATGGTTTGCATATGCGTTCTTTCGAAAACAATTTTTTTGCGTATTTTTTTAAAACTAGAAATTGACTTTTTGCGATTGTAATTGTGTACACGCATATCGTGTACCACATGGAGGGAATTTTCCCTTCAACATGGTAGAGCGAAGCTGGACTCGACAATGTGGAGGAATCGGATATGTTGGAGTGCCTTGGGCTCCATGTTGAGGACCTGTCAAATGAGGATCTGATGTAGCTGGAACAACAGTTAGCTGAGAAAGAGGCCGATGAAGTGATAGTGGTATTGCTTATGAACTGGCATCCACTGCTACACGGAGTTGTACCAGCAGAAGAAGAAACAAGCTCTCCAGCTGTCTCTGAGCAGATTTTTGTTAAATGTTCTGCAATCATGCCAAAAATTCAGGAGAAGACTCGAGAAGATAGACAGCTTCCTCTGTATATATGTATGTTGAACTTCTTTCGCACCGTACATAGCCAATCATGCTCATTGGAGGTGTGGGAGAAGGACAACAAACTAAACACAAAAAGTGCAGTTTTATAGAAATTAGTTTTCAATCTCGATGATTTAAAAGTCCATAGTTCCAGTGGCTTCCTAACATCAGAAGCAAGAGTGTCCAGACGGCCGCATAATGGAATCTGAAAGCGCACAATGCAGTGACCGTTTTTGACCGATGGCAAGCCATCGGACATTCCTGTAGCTCCAACTCCATCGTCAACTTCATCATCTTCAGATGAAGTGGCACGTAATCATGCCCCTTCATCTCAGTGCCGGATTAAGCTAGTGCGGGGCCTGTAGCATATGTTATAAAGGGGCCCTTAATAAATAAATAAAACACCTAAATATTAAAACACATACATTTTTTTAATCCTTTATATTAAGTTCGCTTGCGTGCTTGCTTACGACCGTGCAAATCTTTCAGTCGTTTTTTAACCCACTTCCCGTGATCCAATCGAGCTGACATTTTGCACACAGACTCGTTGTGCGAGACAATTAATGTTCGTGAAATTTTTTTTCCAAAATTTTACACTGTTTAGGGAAAACAAATTAAATATTTAATTACCAATTGCTTAATACTGGCAGACAATCATCTGACCCATAGGTGGCAGCCATCTCAAGCCAGAGGACGAGAGGACTCTAGCCGCCACGCATATAAAGGCTTTATAGTGAAAAACTTTGTTTTTACGGGTTTACTTGTTACTTGCATAGTAAAGTAATTGTATTTTCTCATTTGCTATGCAGCCAGATAATACGACAAATCGCAAACGTTAAACACCCAGTCGTTCATAAAAGTTGAAGGCAGTATAGTACTATAGTAATAGAGCAAGTGCAGAATCACTGAACCGGAATTGATAGCTTGAAATCCTTTAGCGCGAGGCCCTTGAAAGTGCGGGGCCCGTAGCATTTGTAGCTACTTTTGCTACTAGGATAATCCGGCACTGCTTCATATGCATACCTTCACTACTGCTCACCACAAGAAGCCTCGATCAGCACGCTCTTAAACCATCTCTGGTAAGTTTTATGTAATTATTTGTATTTATTATGAGCTGAAATGTATGTTAACCTTTAATCATATGCATTTTTGTACACTTAAATACATTTAGGTCATTGCTCTTTCAAGAAATGGTGGTGTAGAAACACATCCCCTGATTTTCATATTATGTCTGTGGGAAATTAGAGTCCACTTCAAGTAATTTTGAGTTCAGTAGCATTTCCTAGGAAAATATCCCTTATGTACAGTGGGGGATTTCGATAGTTTAATGGTGTTCATTTATGGAGATTAAGCTTTTAAAGGGTAAACATTCTTGAAAACGTATATTTTTCTACTTTCATTGTAGCCACCCCACAAAGAAGCCTAGTCCCTAAAGGAATGTTTATGAACCGCATGTAGGTGTATATAGGTATGTGTGAATTGTTACATTGCATTATATAACTGTGTATGCAGAAGGAATGACAGTCTTGAGTCGACAAAGAATGGCCCAAATGACCTGGAATCCATATCAACATCTGGCCGGCTGCCAAACCAAAAGTACTCATTGGAAAGTCGGCCCTCCATGGAGCTATCCGACAGGTATGCATATGCAGAATATATATTGTGTGATTGTATATAAAATACGTTCTCTACTACTTTATAGATGTCAGAATATAAATACTTAGAGTCACCAGATTAAACAAACGCTGTATATGTCACCAATCGGTGTGGTTATTATGAGTGAAGTATGGTCAGACAACCCCCATGACCTACATGGTGCGGGAAGGCCTCTGTTTGTGGAAGGACAACAGCTAAAGTGCATTATGTATCCATTTATTTACGACTGGATACGGTGGTGGATAAGACAGTCCAGCACGACCATATGCATTGAGGTACACACACTGTACCTACACGTATAGTCTCTATTCGACCATGCATGCATCTCCTTGTGTGGTATGTGCATGATGCTTGCAATCCGTAACTTTGGATGCGTGGCTTAGTGGATCACATTCATACTCACAATACTCCTAAACCCGCTGGACTATTAGATAACCAGGAGAAGGCAGTACAGCAAATTGATTATTTCATCTTTCTGTGTTGACATTTGAGAGTTATCCCTTTCGTTGAGTGGGGTTTCTCTGGGTACTCCAGTTCTTACAACTTGCCATGACACTAAAAAACGTGTCTAGGGACCCAGTGCAGTGAGGCTTTTCTAAGAGCACTACATCCCGGGATCCTCTTTTTCATTGTCATCAACAGCAGCACAGTAAATAGTCGCAACAGGACATCAGCAACACTAGAAACTAAAAAGCAACATCATCATAATCATTACAATCTTTACAATCACCATCATCAAACTCTTTGTTGTCATCATCACTGACACATTCACGTGTGTGTGATGCTACATTAAGGTGCTTGCCAGAAAGTTTGGAGCGGTAAACCTCCATTATAATTTGTAAGTCAATGCAACTGGCTCAAGGTGCTGTACTAAGTAGTGTTGCATATCCACCCAATCCTTTCCCGACACTTCCGAATAGTACGATTGGCTACCCACGGTTCGAACGAAGTTCAACATACATGTATGGAAAAAGGTTCATATATATTAGGAATGGAACATATTCAGATTCAGATCAATTAGGTATGGGCACTTTTCAAGGTTTGCACAAATCCCGATGTGTGTGCCGAATCTGGCGCCGCACGAGCCTGGGCATGAATGACAGCACCACCCGGCACGCCGCAGCGCCCTGGCTGGCAAGATCCCTGGGTGAGCACTGTGTTTATTTTGTATTACAACCACATTACATATCTTGTAATGCAGTATACATAATTTACAAAAGTCGTACGTAGGTTGCAGTGTATTTTAAAGACAAACACAGACATAATTTCAATCGTGATGACGGTTACAAACTGAGTATTCATTGGAAAGATGTGATTAACCATGCAAAAAAGATTTAACTACACTTATTTGCCAATCTTATTTGACAGACAACCATTACAGTTTTACCATGTCTAGTGGTGGTCTCCCTGTCACAGGTTGAGTCACAAACCGCACCTCTCCATAACAAAGGCTCAGCCTTTGTTATGCAGTCTATTCTTAGTCTTAAGCCTCACCTTACCATATTAATAATAAGTATGCGGCCCTTGCCCCACCACCTTCTCCAACCATTATATAAACGGAGTGGTAGCTCCTGCAATCTCTCATTTACTTGATACAGCTGTCGTGGCTGTGACGGTACCACCTGAAGACGGAAGCTTGTGTTGCCTCCGAAACGTCGTGATTTTTATTTTATTTTACTTTTTAATGTTTTTACCTACGTGACTTTACCGAAAAAACCTAAGAATACGAATCATTGCAGTCACGAAAGCTTCAAATCTAGAACAATTTTAAAGACTGTACATTAGCATTGTGTAGGTTATATATATATATATATATTTGTAAGTCTGCTCAACAGCAGCTACATATGGATCAGATAACATATGTAAATAAAATACCTCTTATTGAGTGTTAAAAAAAGTGGGCTTTGACAGGATAAAAAAAATGCCCAAGAGGACATCTACAATGGAGCTGAGAGAGACAAGATCAACTCATGAGCAGGAGATAGATGGATTGTTGTATTGTGAGACATTGAGTGATGGTGATGGTTGAGGAGGCCTTCAATCAGCATGGAGAGAACATAATTGATCATGATGAGTTACCATGGTGTGAGAGATAAAAAAATAAGTTAACATAGTTTGTGAACTTAAAACAGCTACCATGGTATGAGAGTGGTTGGTGGAACTTTAGGGTCCTGGCATCTTGGGATCCATTCCCACCCTTGAACATAAGTGGCACATTGTATTTGAGCCGAAGTAGCGCCACCCCTAGTTTTTTACACATGCAATTGATTGTACAGTTGTTGTTACTGTTGGCAGAATTATTCAGACTCAAATAAATGATAACAGATTCTAATTAGTTTTATTATTTAGAATTTAAACGCAAGCAATACAAATTCGGATTTTGGTCAGATTCAGTTTTGGGTTCAGAAGCTCAGCTGAAATTGGATTCGATGTGGCTTTGATGAATTCATCCCTTTCATAGTAAACAAAATATGACAGAGAGGTTGAAGATATTTTGAGCCTGGACTTGACCAGGGATGGGAAGTGAACAACACATGATGGCCGGAGAGAATCGGTTCCTGGGCTGGGGGCAGCAACGGAGAAAGCGAAACATCTCAAGGAGCAAATATTGACTGGGGACTTTGATCGAAGGTATTTATTTCTGAAGAGGAGAGCGCATGAAGGAGAGTACTACGATATGAGAGGGGAGAGGCAGGCAGGCAGGGGTGAGACCATTGAGGATCTTGATGGGAATTTGTAAATTGATGAAGGACTGGAAAGGAAACCAGTGGGGAGGGATCTGAGTATTGAAGTGATCACGTTAAATTAATGAATTTGGAGAACAAGTCTGGTAGCAGAATTTTGGATCATCTAGAGGTGGTAGTTGATGAAATTTAGAAGGGCATAATAGGGGAAGAGGCGCAATCGTCGGGTCAAGATGTGATAGAGGCGAGAGGCCGACCGAAAATCGGTTTCTGGTTTCAGCGCCGAAAGTTGGCAGATGGCCTCTTTCGGCATAGTTTCGGTTTCAGCCTAAAGTCAATTTTTTACTTTCGGTCTGGTTTCTTTTTTGGCCGAAACCAGAAATTCAGTTTCGGTCGGCCTCTATTCCCTCTCTCTCCCTCTCTCTCTCTCTCCGCCTTCCCTCTCCTCTTGTCCTCTCCTTTCACCTGAATAATTTGAGAAAGTACTTTGAAACCTGTAACTCATAATAAAGGTTTTTGGGTTAGATTGCGTAAATATAAATGTGTCGTAACCCTCCACCACCGAACACAGCCAGTAAGGTTTGTCACGTAAACAACGCGCCAATTAGTTACTACTGCAGCCCACTGGTGTGTTGGAGAGTAAATCCACAACATTTACAATTTTAGGAGTACAACGTTTCACTGGTAATTACATCCAGCATCATCGGGCGATTTGCCAGAATAGTGAAGCCATCCACCTGCTTCCGGTCTTAAATAGAGCAAGATGACGTCTTCACTGAACCCTTCAGGTGCAGAGATCAGAGGCGGAGGGAGGGGAGTTATTGTAATTATATAATAGATTAGTAATCAGTTAATTAGCATGTGTTTCCTCTATAGGGAATGCAGGCGCAATAAGCCACTAGCTGTCAGGGTGGTTAAAATTATTTGTATTTCAATGGTGTCTCGAATTAGTCTCGTCCAGTAATAATTAGTTGTACACAACACTTCAACGTTATCAAAATCAATTGAGTGTCCTTGTTGGCAAGCATCTTCTGCAACTGCCGACAGTTGTGTTTGAGAGTATTTAATATTTATTTGTTATTTTTGTCTTATGCTAATGTTACGTCCCGTCTGTCCAATATAGCATCTGCTACAAATAATCCGATACACACCTTCTGTTGATAACTTAGGCAATTCATCTTGAGCACAAGATACTAGTTTTATTTTATTTTGTTTAGCGTCCCAAATCTTGCTTAGATTTTTTTTGTTTTTCCAAAACGAATTAGTTTGTTACCCCCACAATATATGGTATTTTAATAGTTTTAATAACCTGATCACTTTCAGCAGTATTGCTGTTCGATCTTGGTTTGGCATTCAATGCTCTGATAATTTGAGCGATATTATAGCCATTTAATCGTAGCGCTTCTTTAAGATGTTTAGTCTCTCTCCTCAGACTATTACCATCTGACACTGTTTTAATCCGATGTATGAGCGTCTTGATGAGAGAGGATTTCTGTGCGGGGCGATGATGCAAATCTGAATTCAGATCGGCATCCGTGTGCGTTTCCTTTCGGTAAACGTCGTGTTTTTTTTACCATTTAGGCCACGTCCGAGAATCCATTGAAAATGAGATGAATACAAATCATTGTAACCGCTCTGACAGCTACAGGCTTAGTACGGAATGGAAGCGTATTATTAAGTAATACATCTTACAACTGCATTCCTTATAAAGGAAACACATGCTAATTAACTGATTACTAATCTATGATATAATTGCAATAACCCCCCTCCTCCGCCTCTGACCTCTGCACATGATGGGTTCAGTGATGACGGCATCTTGCTCTATTTAAGACCGGAAGCAGGTGGATTACTCCACTCTTCTGGCAAATCGCCCGATGATGCTGGATGTAATTACCAGTGAAACGTTGTACTCCTCAAATTGTAAATGTTGTGGATTTACTCTCCAATACACCAGTGGGCTGCAGTAGTAACTAATTGGCGCGTTGTTTACGTGACAAACCTTACTGGCTGTGTCGAGTGGTGGAGGGTTACGACACATTTATATTTACGCGATCTAACCCAAAAACCTTTATTAGGAATAATATTGGTCGCGAAAGCCTACGTGTTGAAAACCAGTAACTGTAGTCATCTCATCATTGTATGTATTCAATTACAACATTTTTTACGTACTGTAATTATCAATCACACAAAACATTCGGTATTACCAGAAGGAATTTACTTTATAATTCACTATCGTTTCCAGTATTGTCGTGTGTTATATTGTCATTCTAGAAAGGTACATATTTTGGAAACCATAAT